AATTTTAAAATAGCATACCGGCCCACATTTAAAAAATGGTCCGGCCCTTCTGGCATTTGCCAGAATTGCCAGATGGCCAGTCCCACCCCTGAACAACAGTTTACAATGAGGTTTCATTGGTTAATTTATTTACTAACATGAACTAATAATGAACAATACTTGTACAGCATTTATTAATGATAGTTAAACGTTTACTAATGCATTATTAAAATATGTGAGTTATTGAATATGTGAGGAAATTACAATTATTTATCATCTGAATAAATAAGCTTTCCATTGATCTATGAGTTTTGTCCATTTGCAATATCTTTGCTGTGCCGTTTGATCAATATAATGCACATTTTCTGAAAATAGATGAAATAATCGTTTTGTTTACACTTTATTTTAGTGTCCTCGTCACAGTTGTAACTATTCATTTAACTACTGATTAATATGAATGAATTACATTAGAATGGTGCTTGGGTTTGCAGTTACTTAAGTGTAACTATGTATAATTTAGTGTGATTTCTATAGTAAGTACAGGGATCATGATTATCAAGGACAGCTTAAAAGAAAGTTTAAATGGTTTTATTTAAAACGTAAATCAAATTAATTTCTCTCTGACATATTAAATACTTATATAGAACCTGACACCGCAGTTTCAGTATATGGTATTACACCACAGTCCTTCTGTTTTAATAAAACTAAGAAAAATGTAACAATCGCCTTTGCTAGCTTTTACACTATTTAACCTTAGAAAAAATAAGACTATAAGAGGTTGTACTGATATGTTTTTTTTTTCACTTGACAGTGACGAAACTTTATGTTTTAAATTACATAAATAAAATGGACCACTACAATTTTTTCAGAAGAGTAGAATTTGTCCTTATTTCTTTCTTTCCTATATATATATATATATATATATATATATATATATATATATATATATATATATATATTAGGGATGTAACGGTATTGTAAATACCGTCATACCGCAATATTAATTTTTTTCGATATTACCGTAGTCGCATGACTCGGTAAAACTATAGGTCTTCTGAGAAAATTTGCTCAGGCGAATGAAGCGAACGGGAGGTACCGGAAACTACAATTCCCATCAGCCCAGGCTTGGCCATAATCCCTTGCGGTCTGTTGTCGCTACAGATCCAGTAATGCGGAAATGGAGTGTGCTGCTAGAAGCGGGGATCAAAAAGAGCTGGAAAACCCTAAAGCGGGTGTTGTTGCCGCGCGCGTACTGAATAGTGGTGTTGTCGCGCGAGTTCTTATCAGCTGTGTTGTCGCGCGCGTACTGAATAGTGGTGTTGTCGCGCGAGTTCTTATCAGCTGTGTTGTCGCGCGCGTACTGAATAGCGGTGTTGTCGCGCGAGTTCTTATCAGCTGTGTTGTCGCGCGCGTACTGAATAGCCGTGTTGTCGCGCGAGTTCTTATCAGCTGTGTTGTCGCGCGCGTACTGTAAAGCGGGGACGGAGGGTATGTCGCGTCGCGGGGGCACTTTTGATCATTTTGGAAGGGAACTTTCTATCCAAGACTAAAAAGGGCATGTGCACTGCACAGGTTGAGCACTGTGTGTGCATGTGCCTGCAAGTTAGGGAATACGACTAATCAGTCATGGGGACTGCAGAAACACAGCACACTGTTCAGACTGATGCAGACATGAGATCTCTATCTCACTCATGGTTTGTCCTCTCAAGTGGGGGAAAGACAATGCACAAGTCATATCTCTCTTGTCCCAGAAACCTCAGTCCCAAATGAGAGGGTTTTTTTCTGTTGCAGGGGACATTGTAAATACCCAGAGATACCAGCTTTTACCAGATTATATTTATATGATAATTTTCCTTTAAACCCATCTCTATCTAAGTGAGTGAGTGATTAAATGTTGAATGTGATGAGTTTTCAACAATACTAAATTGAAACTTTATTTTTTTTACATGGTTTAATATTTTTTTGTTATTAAAATTGAAGTTCCTGTTTCAAAGCTTACAGATAGATGGCTAATTTGTATGTCATTGACACTTTTGGCACTTTTTTGGAGTATTTAAGTTTTGTTTTTTCCTGTAAATGATTCAATAAATACCGTACCGTGACATTCATACCGAGGTATTACCGCACCGTGAAATTCTGATACCGTTACATCCCTAATATATATATATATATATATTAGGGATGGGAAGATTAACCGATATGTATCGATACGCGGTCATGCGCGTGCACGATGCGAGTGCATCGGTTGAGCAGCAGAGGATGAATGAAATTTTGGAAGCAAATCGAGATGCATCGGGTTTTGCGAGATGCATCGATTTTTCCGAGATACAGCTTATATTTTTAATATAGAATGTATTTTTTATTTATTAACATGTGTTGTCAACCTGTTTTTGGCGCATAATTTAATCGACCTACATAAAGTAAGCCTTAGCAACGGATTTGCGGATGTGCACACACTACAACTCAGTGTATCAGGTGTGCGGATGAAGCTAGTGGTGCGCCCTCAGAAAGCGCGAGAAGCAAAACAAACATTTTATTCCCCACTGAGTTTTAAATCTAAAGTATGGCAAGCAACATTATGGATTTAAGGATGGACGACATGACAGGACAGATGCAATTTGCAAAATGTGCCGCGCATCTGTAAAATACGCGGGCAGTACGACTAATCTGATTTCTCACTTGAAGCGGCGCCACGGTGTTGTTGTGAAAGCATCTTCCAGTGTTTCTGCATCCCCGGCTTTCGCACTGCTTCAACCAGCTCCAAAAGTGGTGAGAAAAGCGTTGCAAGTTTTTTTTCCATGCGCAACAGTTCTGCTCGCTCTACGCCAATAACGAATGCTATTGCATTGTTCATCTGCAAAGATATTCAGCCTAGTGTCACGGAGAACGAAGGTTTTAAACACCTCCTCCTGTTAATTTTTATTTAATAATAATAATAATAATATTAATAATAATAATGATAAAAATAATGGGTGTCACGGTGGCACAGTGGGTAGTTTGACCACCTCACAGCAAGAAGATTGCTGGTTTGTTATATTTTTATTAGCCTGTTGTTTACAGTGACAGTGATGTTTCAAAGCAGCATAACACTGCTAGTTCACGACCTTAAGTTTTGAATAATCAGTGGCAAAATATATCTTTGTAAAACTTGTTTTCATAGTTGAAAAGTTAAATCACAATTCTTGTTGTGCAATGCTAAATTTATTTATGTTGAAAGAGTGCAAATATATACATATTTTTTAATATTTATTGCACTTATACATTCTGTTTATCTTGAAAATACTTAAATAATATGTGCTATAGGTTCTAAAATGGCCCTCTACTGTAAAATGACACTCTGGCTCTGAGAGAAAAGCCAGTTTGTAAAAAAAAGTCTTGGTTTTGCTTGGTTAATAAATAATCAAACTCATTCAATGGCACAGCATCCTCTTTCACATCATCTCATAAACTTGATCTAATTAGTTAGTGCTGAAATATCGCATCGTATCGTGATATGGGTGTGAATCGTATCGTGTTGCATCGCAATACTGTATGTCACAAATGTATCGCTAATATATCGGATCGTATTCTTTGAATCGAGATGCGTATCGGATCGGCATTATAGCTTAGATGCCCAACCCTAATATATATATATATATATATATATATATATATATATATATATATATATATATATATATATATATATATATATACACAGAAAGAGAGCCATCTGAAAAAAAAAGTGTCCTTCTGAATCAAATCAGCAGGATGCCTGACTTTAACTGCAGTTCGGCAGTTTGACTTTGACTCATGAACATTTCATTCATGCCGCCGTGAGAAACTTTGGTATTAAACGCAAATAAGGAGTAAGGACTGGTTTGAGTGTTATGGAATTTATTAACGCATGCCAAATGTAAATAAAATCTTCCACATTTTGCGATGTGTGTGTGTTCGTGTGTGTGTGTGTGTTCGTGTGTGTGTGTGTGAGTCTGTCCTTTACTGACTGCCGCTTGTGTGGATCTTGTCGGATATATAGTTTGATTGCGGTGTTTACTTCAATAATGCCACTAATGTCTGCAAACTCCACATGTCTTAATTCCATTTCTGTTTAGTTCATTTCTGACTTAAGTCGGATTAAGGTGATCAAAAATCAAGCTTATGCAGGCCTAAAGACATACCTGCCAACACTCCTGTTTTTCCCGGGAGTGTCCCATATTTCAGACCCATCTCCCGTTCTGTCTTACGGAAAACTCCCGTAATTTACAGCCCCCACCCCCAACGTACAGTTCACAACACCCCCACCCCCCAATGTACAGTTTGCGAATCAGCCCCCCCCCACACACACACACAAACACATATACCCCGCTCTTCAGTTTACGAATCCCCATCCACTGTACATTTCGCGAATCATCTCCCCCCAACTCTTCAGTTCGCGAATCATTCCCCCCCTGGGTCCTTCAGTTCGCGAATCAAATCCCCCCTAACGCTCTTCAGTTCACAACCATACCCCCCACCCCTACACACCCACCGCTCCTGATTTCGCAGACCACTCCAACCACCCCCTATCTAGTCAAATATTATTTACTGTCATCATGGTAAAGATAACATTAATCAGTTGTTAGAAATGAGTTATTAAAACTGTTATGTTTAGAAATGTGTTACTGTATGTGTTAAAATATTTTTGTAAATATTTATGTAAATATTTTAGTTAAACAGAAATTGTGAACACAATATGCAGGGGGGCTAATAATCCAGGATATATAAGTATTTTACTTGATATTATTATTTATTTTTATTTTATTTTAATATTATTTATATTCTGTTAAAGAGCCTAAATGTATATGACGGGTTGTGTTTTTTGTCTAAAAATAAATAAATAAATAAAAGCTATTTGTAGCCTACTGCCTGTTTCACATCTAAGATGTTCAATAAAAAGTAGGTCAAACCAAATCTTCCAGACTCCAAACTTTGCAGCAGTAGTATATCTGCGGTGCTGAATTGACCCTGATGAGTTCAGCGCTGTGATTGTGATTCTGCAGGTGGGCTGCTGACTGTCTATGTGTTCAAACTGGAGATGGGCTCCGCCGTTCCTCTTTATCGGTATTCACTAAGTGCCAGTGTACCTGCACCCTGGCAGGCTTCATCGGCTGCACACGGAGACGTGCCATCCTTTCAGGTCTGTGCTAACACACTCATTTACACACATTCATTAACACACGTGACACATCCTGAATTTAATTATATTCCTGAATATGATTTTATTTGATATGTGGAAAAAGGGATGCAGGATGGTAGCTTAGATTCAAAGGACAGTATGCTATTTATCACCACTAGAGGGTGTATATTCACAATGAACAAAAGAGTAGGTTGAAAGACTGAAAATGAGTGCGCTGAAGCAATTGTTGATGGCAGACATGCGCAGCACAAAACAAAAGTAGTGAATATATATATTTTACTTTATATATATAACATATATATAAATATATAACATGGTTCCACTGGTTTTTGGATATGTTAATGAAAAAATCGTACATATTGTGCATTTAATAAAGTAGAATTAAATTCATTATGAACGACAAACGTCATAGCAGTGTTACTTACAGTAGATCAGTGGTTTTCGCGGATGAATCACTGAGTAATGAAAGAAAAAATGAATAAGATTTTACTCACTTGATGTGTACGATAACACCGTTGTGATCAGCATTGGCTGTTCTCTAAAACCTACGATCAAAGCGCTGTGCTTAGAATGTTTACTTTAGTGCACCGCGTCATCAGCTGACAAAACAATTCAATTGACGCAAAACTAGAGAAAGAGGTAAGTGGTGCCTGCAGAGCAGATACGTGGTCTCCAATCCTCGAGCCATAAACCGACACCGGTCTATAGATCAATCGGTACGGGGCCGCACAAAAAAAAATCATTAATTCCGTTTTATTTATAATCTGAGTCTGAACGATTTAACCATTTATTTTGAAAAATGACCACATTCTCTTGTTCTCGGTCACTTGAGTGCCAAAATTCAACCCACAGGCTAGCAAAATGAGTACTGCAGCACGACGCGCTTGTGTATTCCAGGTGTCCCCAGTTGAAAACATCTTAACTTTTCAGAATGCCGCACCATGAGTCACCTGACAAGAACCGACTGATCTGTATGATTTAGTATGGAATATAATTTCGTTAATTGAATATGACTCTGCCTCGTTTTCGAACTGTGCAGTGATGTAGCTGCTTAATTTGGCCAACTGTGCTACTTTATTTCAATACTGGTGATTATGGTGGTACTTGGAGAGACAATTTTTGGTGGTACTTGGTGAAAAAAGTTTGAGAACCACTGCAGTAGATTATTTAAATAAAATGTATAATATTTCTACTTACCTTTAATTAGTTTTTATTTACCCTTTAGTTTCTAGCATTTAGTTTAGTCAAGTAATGAAGTTGTGTAACCTGAAAGAACTAAGATTCAGAAGATTTTTTACTTTTTGTTATTCCAAATTTATTTTATTTTATTTTATTTTTTATTTTATTTTATTTTATTTTATTTTATTTTTATTTTTTGTTATTTTTTATTTTTTATCCATATCCATTATTGATTTTACACCAACTAAATTGTTATTGCCTGACCCTAACAAAACACACACACACACACATTGGTATTGGTGGTTTACGAGGACTCTCCTTAGGCGTAATTATTTTGTACTGTAAAAAACACTTATAATATGGCCTTACCCTACTCTAAACCCAACCATCACACTCTCAAAAATGACATGTGCTGCTTTTCTTCAAATTGCTTAGTTCAGATGAGGTATAACAACACGATTCTTGACTTTTCTGGGGATGACTTAATTGTTTTATGTTCAGTCCACTTACTAATAAGCCAACTTAATTCCTTCATGTCATCCCAACACAAATCAATTGCGTAGAACCCAGTATTTGTTACAGTGCAGGAAACCTGTGGCAAATTGTGAAGGTGAAAAGACCTGCACAGGCTCATTGTGAAAGTGTAGCCCTACATACATTTCTGGAGATCGGGAATTATGTAGCCAGAGGAACATACGGCTGCATTTCATCTTTAATACGAGTGCTATGGGGTGGTATGGCGCCGTTCTTTTTTGTGCTTACCCCTGTGTGGACAGCTATTCTGCTGTTACCAGTTTGTTCAGTGGCTCGCCGTGTACGTCGGAGTATTTGAGACGTAGATCAAAGTTGACCATGACGATAAGGTTAGGGTCCGGCGAATAGCGGTTCCAGAACAACAAAAGCCAAATAATTAAATAAACAAGTAATTAACAGGGTGAGAATATGGTGAGATCGGAAAATGTGGTAAAAATCAGGTTTTCTTTTTCTGGATTGCTTTTGAAAACACGGTCTGTTGGGTTTAGGAAAGCGCGATGGGCGGGTCAATCGGTGCTTTGAAAAACACTCGTTTGGGTTTAGGGAAGGAGGAGGGTAGGTCAGTCGATCGGTCAGTCAGTCGACAATGGCGTTTGGTAAATTTACGTGGGAAGAGTAGGCGCGAATGACACTTGCGAGAGAAATTTGCAACTCAGGCTCATTCTGAAAACGTACTGCTATGTACATTTCTGGAGAGCGCCAAATATATCCCAGAAGCTACGTTTTTTTTTTTTTTTTTTTTTGCAGTTTTTGTTGTGAATCCATCAGAGGCCGCTGCTGTGTTCGCTTTTTGAAATCTCAAATTTCTCTCGTGAGTGCCATTTGCGCCTGCTCGTATAAATCCACTAGGGGCCACTGTCGACTGACTGAATGACTGACCAATCGACTGACCAACCCTCCTCCTTCTCTAAACCCAACCAATAGTGTTTTCAAAAGCACAGATTGACCACTCTTTGTCCACTGAACAAACGTAACAGCGGGAAAGCCGTCAATATGGAGGTAAGCGGTCAGCTGGTAAGCGCGAAAAGGAACGTCGTCATACCACCCCGTAGCGTTTGTTTTAAAGACAAAATGCAGCCATACGCACTTCTGGCGTAACTGACGCACTTCTCCAGAAATGAATATAGGAATACTTTTCGGAATGAGCCTTTGTTGGAAATTTGAGATCTCAAAAAGCGTACACCGCAACCTGTTGCAGCTCAAAAACGCAGCTCCTGAAACGTATTTAGCGCTCTCCAGAAATGTATATAGGGCTGCGTAATCAGAATAAGCCTGGGTTAGAAAAGACCCTGTTAAGCATGATTTTAAACCGTTTTGAATTACGAGGACACAAGGCATGTCCTCATAAACCACCTCAGCATTGTAATAGCCAGGTCATATCCATGTCATTAAACCAAAAACCACACACACACACGTCTGCCAGTTTAAAGAGCCCATATTATACATGAAATAGGGTCATATCTTGGTTGTAAGGGTCTCCAACAACAGTTTAATATGCATGCAAGGTCAAAAAACACTTTTGTGGTCTTATAATCTGCATTTATTTTTACCTAATTATCCCAGCGACTCCCGTATGAATCGTCCAGTGATTCATTTGTTCCCAAACCCCTCCTTAGCGCGAAGCTAATCTGCGCTGATTGGACTGATGACAGCCTGTTGCGATTGGTCGACTGCCTTCAGTCAGAGAGTGAAATGCCAAACAGCTAATCAGCAATATAAAAGTAATCACAGTTCATACACGCTCGATAGTGTAGGCGTGGATTTTAGCTGCCAGTGGGTCAATGTAAATATGGACTTGAAAATACAGACAACTAACTATTTTATTGAGCAAAAACTCCAAAAACAGTTGAGGAGATCTCCTAGCTTCTCACCCTGCTCTTTTCACAGACACACACACACATATTGCACACACACACACACACACACACGCACTTAACCCTGCTCCGGACGACAACGCGCGCACACACACACACAAACACACACACCTCCGGACGACATCGCGCGCACACACAGACACACACACTACTCCTCGTCCACGGAGCTCCGTTAACAAAGCAGCACGCGTCGCGTTTTTAACGTGACTTTGCACGCGATATGAGAATATAGCCAGTTAACCTGATACAGTACACGCGGTTACAAGTAACAAATCACAACTAAATACATTTGCAAGCTAGAGTCATCGAGGCAACTTTAATCGCACGTACTTACACTTGAGAAATGGAGGAAGAAAAATCCATCCTGACGTCCATCAGTAAGTTACTCTTTACTGATCCTTCCTTTAACAAACGCTGATGAAGTATTCTTTGTAGCATGTAGCTTCCAGAAGTTTCCAGTAGTTTCCAACTGCTTGGCTATAATGCTGATGTTTCATCTTTGGGTAGAGACTCAATATATCCATCTGCAGTGTGACTTCAATCGACCGGCATGTTTGTGTGTGTGTGTGTGTGTGTGTGTGTCTGGGTTTCTGCGTCAGAGGGCGGGGCCTCAGGTTTGAAATCTCCCGGGTTTGTGCGTGCACGTGAATAACTTGGTTTCGTTCGTACGTCATGGCGAAACACCTAATGAATCGGTATCAAGGTGACTCGTTTGAAGCACTATGAGTCGACTCTTTTATAGATGAATCAACAGTTTTAAACACTGTACACTAACAGATTTAAGCCTTAGCTGGATACTTTACTTCACTTATAGCTGTGTTACACACTACATGGAGGGGAATTTTCAAAAACCCATAATATGGGCTCTTTAATATAGTTTGTTAAGCAAAGAAAAAGAAACAATAGTTTAAACCAAACAAACAGCTGCGATGAGCCGTTTCCTGCCTACATAATTACGCTTGGCAAATGTGTTTTTCACATTGCTTAATATTATCACTACACAGACAAAAACCATTACCGCCTGTGTGCTAATGCATCCTAGAAAAAAAAAGAAGCTTTCAATGTACACAATCTATCGCAAAGCTGTGGAATTCCATCATCCTGAGTGTAATGTGTCTGTGTGTGGCGTCTACTCATATCACCTCAGCACGCTTCAGTTGCCCTTATAGCCCCATTCTATCTGAGCTGACAAAAAAGCTGATCGATGTGTTGTCACGGTAACAGGCCTACAGCAGTCCCCATAGCAACTTCAGCACGCGGATAAGCGTGTGTGTGTCTCACGCCTATCACCCGCGGCCCCGCTGGATGCTGACGCTGCGCTCGTGTGACGGCAGCCGACGCTGGATTGCAGAGTTCGAGTTTTACGTGGCTTCGGTGGAGCAGCAGCGCAGCAGGCGAGTTTGTGTGTGTGTGTGTGTGTGCTGAAGACTGATGAGCCGTGACTGATTGAAATCATTTTTATTGCCTCTTCACTGTGCAACATTTAACCCAGTGTGTGTCTGAGTTTGACATCAGGATGTCTGAAAGTGAGCTGGAAATTGATGTGCTGTTTGTGTCAGGAAGCTGTATTTTATGGAGACGGATCAGTCTCACAAATACTACAAGTCAACTTGGGACAGTATGGAAAACGCAAATACAAAGAGAAAGTAGTGATTTAGAAATGTCCTTTGACTTGTATTTCATTGCAGACAGCATGAGCACAACATATTTCATGTTTTGTCTGGTCAACCTCATTTCATTTGTAAATAAATCCCTGTCATTCAGACCTGCAACACACTCCAAAACAAGCTGGGACAGGAGCAGCTTAGGGCAGTAATCAGGTAAACTGGTTAAATAACGATATGATTTGAAACAGGTGATGTCAACAGGTGATTATAATTATGATTTGGTACAAAAGCAGCACCCAAGACAGGAGTCCTTTAGGAGCAAAGATGGCCGAGGATCACCATTTTGCAAACAAATATGTGAGAAAAAGATTCAAATGTTTACATAATGTTCCTCAAATTTTGGACATTTCACCTTCAACAGTGCATAACATCATTTCAAGAGTTCACACTTAGCTGCTGATTGATTAAAAAGCTTGTTTGGCATGCTGTCCCGTGAGAGAGCCCTGAGCTCTTAAGATCCTCGAGCTTGGGGCTCCCTCCCATTTGCAAGGCGAGATGGGAGTTTGAGCTCAGGTAAATCTGGAGAACTGCCCTGCTGTAGTAGCTCATGAACAGATAGTGATCGCTCTTAAGAGATAACTACTTACTAGGAGCATGTCTATGGTGCCGATTTGGATTAGTCAATTAACTGGTTGGATGGTGGGAGGAAGCCGGGGAACTCGGGGGAAAGCCACGTGAGCAAGGGGAGAACGTGTAAGCTCCGCACAGAAACCTTGGCTGGCTTGGTAAGGACTAGAACCAGTGACGTTCTTGCTGTGAGGCAACAGTGCTAACCACTGGGCCACCGTGCCACCCATCTAGAAAAGGAGGAGGAGTAGGGGTGGAAGGGGGGATTCTTCAAAACGAAGATGGCTGAAATATGGAACTTGGAGTATTTATAGTGGCTTAGGAATCATCTGATTGGTGAATCATGAATTGAATAATGCGGAGCCGGCTGCAAGCAATCCTAAGCCCGTGATCCTCTCGAAATACATGCACATACATGCACAGCACAATTCAAATTCTCAAAATCCAATTTGTAAATTGAAATCACAATTCATAAATACGACACACACTTTGTCAGCTCACAAGTAAAAATCATAAATATTTTCACAAAAAAAAATAGATTTGTGTGTTTTTTTATTAGAATATGCAAAAATCATACAAATACAAGAAAACATCAACAAATAACAAATACAAAACAACAAAAAAAAACAACAACAACAACAATATAGTCAGGTACTGGTATGTGCGTGAGTGTGCGTGTGCGTGTGTGAGTGTGTGTGTGCATGTAAAGGTAACTTGGTGGACAGGTCAGAGTACATACATAAGGAACAATAACAGTCAATAAATGAAGCAAGTGTCACAGATATAATAAAACATATAGAAAGAAACCAGTCAGAGAAAGGGAGTAACAACAATGCTTATTAATGTATGATAGTAAAAATGAAAGTAAAAAGAAAGAAAGGACAACAGTAATTAACTGACAGTATAACTGACAATAATAATAATAAATCACAAGTGCTACACCAACTACTACTACAGAAAGTTACTTATATTACAACTACTACTGCTTCTACTACAGCCACAACCACGGCTATTACTACTACAATGTCTACTAATACTGAAACTACTACAACGACTACCACTACTGATACTACTATAGAGTTTGCTACAACTAATACAACAACGTCTACTGCTACTACTACAACCACAATCACTTCTACTACATCTACATCAACAACATCTACTACTGATATTACTACACCAACAATGACTACTACAACTACTGTAACAACCACACCATTACTACTTCTTCTGCTACTATACCAATGACATCTACTACTACATGAACTTCTACTTCAATAATCTCCATAACAATTACTGAATAACAATCGATACTATTACAATGACTACTACTTCAACTACTACTACTACTACTACCGCTACAACTACAACAACTGCAACCTTAATAATGATAATGGTATAAATACTTGTAATAATGATAATGAAAAGATAACAGGACAAGTCAGAACAGTAATAATAATAATGATAACAAAAAGTAAAAGTAATACCATTTATGACAAAGGTGTCGAGCTGAGGGGAGGATGGAAAATCAGGGAGAGGACAAGTAATAATAATAATAATAATAATAATAAATAATAATAATAGTAGTAAGTAGAAGGGGAAAGGTTTGTGTATTTTCGAATCATGTTCAAAATTTATAAATTGTGTTAATTTTACGAATTGAAATAAATGAATGAATGAAGTTTTGTTAATGTTTAATTTTTGAGACTGATCTGGCTCCATTGTATTTTTTTGCAGCACACGATCCAACCCAAGCTCATTCTGGAAACGTAGCCCCGCGGACGTTTCTGGAGACCGCGATTTACGTGGCCGGAGGTACGTAAAGGCCGCGTTTGTTTTTTTTCGAGCGAACGCTGCTTCGCACTCGCCGGCCGACGGCTCACCTCCGAGTGGAGGGCTTTCCCAACGCAATCAGTTTGTCCGCCTAGCTCACAGCGTTGCGTCGGCGGAGTGGAGGCCCCGGACGAGGAGGAGGAGGAGCTGGCCGCGGTGCACGACGACTGGCATCGAGTCCGGGGAACAGCAGGTTCCGGAAATCAGGTAAGACGAAAAACGGAATCCGAAAAATAAGGGCGAGAACGCGGCGGGATCCGAAAACGCAGTCGAAATCGAAGACAAGGCCTTTTGCTTTTTTTATTATTTTTTTCCGATCCGGCGGCTTTTCGCGTGAGAACGGCGCGGGCGCGAACCCCGCACGCTCCCGAGGCGGATCCTCGAAAACAAAAAAACGCTCGAATACATACCTCCCGGGACGTAAATCGCGGTCCGCAGAAACGTCCGCGGGGCTACGTTTCCACAATGAGCCCGGGTTGACACAATCAGTCTGTATCCCAGTCGTGTGTGTGAAGGATTTACACTCAACCCAAATCTGTGTTATTGCCAGACCCTAACAACACACACATACACATTGGTATTGATGGTTTACGAGGACTGTCCATAAGTAAAATGCATTTTATACTGTAAAAAACACTTATTATATGGTCTTACTCTACTCCTACCTCTAAACCCAAACATCACACACTCAAAAAGCTTCTTTAAGGGGAGACAACTTTATTGTTTTATGTTTGTCTGTTTGTGTCAGGAAGCTGTATTTTGCGCAGCACACGATCAGTCCGTATCCCAGTCGTGTGTGTGAAGGGCCACCGGGTTGTGTGTTCAGCTCTGGACCTGATGGACCCACTCAGGGCAGTTTCTACGCACCGCTACCTGCTGGTATATGCTTTTCTTTTTAAAGCTATTTGAACCTATACACTACCTGACAAAAGTCTTGTCGTTGAAACTATTTGTAAGAGCAATAAATAATAACTTGACTTCTAGTTGATCATGTGGAAAAGTGGCAGAAGGTCGATTTTTCTGATGAATCATCAGTTGATCTGGGCCCAATCATCACAAATAGTGCAGAAGACCTACTGGAACCTGCGTGGACCAAAATTCTCACTGAAATCAGTCAAGCTTGGTGAAGGGAAAATCATGGTTTGGGGTTACATTCAGTATGGGGGTGTGTGAGAGATCTGCAGAGTGGATGATCAACATCAACAGCCTGAGGTATCAAGACATTGGTGCTGCCCATTACATTACAAACCACAGGAGAGGGACAATTCTCCAGCAGGATAGCGCTCCTCATACTTCAGCCTCCACATCAAAGCTCCTGAAAGCTAAGAAGGTCAAGGCGCTCCAGGATTGGCCAGCCCAGTCACCAGACATGAACATTATTAAGCATGTCTGGGGTCAAATGAAGGAGGAGGCATTGAAGATGAATCTAAAGAGTCTTGAACTCTGGAAGTCCTGCAAGAACGCTTTCTTTGCCATTCCAGATGACTTTATTAATAAGTGAGTCACTCACAAATATATGGAGGGATAGGTAGAGGCCGTTACTGAGAAGCTTACAGGGGAACAGAAGTTTACGGAAGAAGAGCCTATTGAGGACTTTAAGAAAGAAGAGCCTCATTGAGGAGCCAGAAGAGGAAGAGTCTCGTTGATTTACTAATGGAGGAAGAATCCATGGTGGAGGTCATAGAAGAAGACCATGGAGGAGTTGATGGAAAAAAAGAGGCAATGAAGCAGCTGCTGGAAAAAGGAGCTGGTAGAAAAAGATCGAATGGAGGAGCTGGTGGAGGAAGAGCCAACGGTGGAGCTGATTGGAAATGAGACCATGGAAGAGCTGGTGAAGGAAGAGAGTATAGACAAGCCATATGAAGACCCTATAGTTTACATGACAGGGAGCGAAGCCATTGTGGAGACTTTCTTGATCAAGGGTGGGTAAACTCAGTCCTGGAGGACCGGTGTCATGCAGAGTTTTACTCCAACACTAATCAAACACACCAGAACATGCTATGCGGTGTCTTCAAGATCACTATAAGGCTATAGGTAGGTGTGTTTGAGTATGGTTGGAGGTAAACTCTGCAGGACACCGACTCTCCAGGACTAAGTTTGCACACCCCTGTTCTAGATGCTTAGGCTGGGCAGAACTGGGGGAAAACAAACTGCACTGCTGAAAAATCCAGCTCAAACCAGCCTAGGATGGTTGACTGGTTTTCGCTGGTCGACCAACCTGGTTTTAGAGGGGTTTTGGCCACTTCCAGGCAGGTTTCCAGCCTGGTTTTAGCTGGACAAGCTGGGAGATGACCAGCTAAAACCAGCTATGTCCAGCCTTAAACCAGGATGGTCAAGCTGGTTTTAGATGGTTTTATCTGGTCATTTTACAGCCTGACAAGCTAAGACCAGGCTGGAAATGACTGGTAACCAGCCTTAAACTCTGCAGGACACCGACCCTCCAGGACCAAGTTTGCACACCCCTGTTCTAGATGCTTTAGCCTCCTTTCCACTGCACATGACAAACGGCAAGCGACAGACCGGAAGTCATTCATTTCCAATGGAGAGCAGTCCGGGAGCTGCGTTGAGTTCTAATCATCTCCGTATGCGGAAAATTCGGATCCGAATTGAGCTGCGGATCCGTTGAAATATTTGAACTCTTGCGACTAGACCGCATGCGACCTGCCGACCGGATATGATGTATTCCAGTGTTGTCCAAGCAGATCCGTGCACGCGAGATGAGAAATAGGACTTAATTTGGTATTTTTTGAATTATAAAAAGTCTATATTAAAATAAAAAACTTTTCTGTTTATAAATGTAAGTAAGAAAGTAATAAAAAAATATATATTTTAATGTTTTCTCCACATTCCCTCTAATATTTTAGCGGTCTATGAGTTTCTAGTATTCATTCATTCATCCATTAAAATATGTAGGCTCTTGCTTTTGCCCTCCTTTATTTCGGACACCGTCAGCTTCTCCCCCATGGTGCACGACAACACTGAAAATACTGTACGGCTGCCACAAGGGGGCGTATTCCGTCAGTCGTGTCCAAATGTCGTGTGTAATGGAAAGGCAGCTTTAGGCTGGGCAGAACTGGGGAAAAACAAGGTGCCCTGCTGAAAATTCCAGCTTAAACCAGCCTAGGAAGGTTGGCTGGTTTTAGTTGGTCGACCAGCCTGGCTTTAGAGGGGTTTTGGTTACTTTAAGACTGGTTTTCAGCCATTTCCAGCCTGGTTTTAGCTGGACAAGCTGGGACTTTCCAGCCTGACCAGCTTAGACCAGGCTGGAAATGACAAGTTGGGACTTTCCAGCCTGACCAGCTAAGACCAGGCTGGAAATGACTGGAAACCAGTCTTAAAGTAACCAAAACCCCTCTAAAACCAGGCTGGTCGACCAACTAAAACCAGCCAACCATCCTAGGCTGGTTTGAGCTGGAATTTTCAGCAGGGTGGAGCAAGGGGTGTGCTTATTTTTCACAAGGGCCAACCCATGAGGGACTTTAAAGTAACTGATGTTGGATTTTTAGAGATCTCTTTATACATTGTGTGAGAAAAACGTATCTGACAACAAATGTTTTCCACATTGTCAACTATTGTCAGCTTTTTTTTTCCCTTCTCTGGTAAGGTTATTCTCTTGTATATGTGCTCAGCTCCTGCCCAGGTGAAGATCTCCAGGACATCAGGCTTTAACCCCTGCAGTGGAGGTAAATGTGGGAAGCCAGCCGTGCGCCCTCTAGTGGATACCGGAGCCATGGTGTTTGTGGTGTTCGGCATACTGGGGGTGAACCGCACTCAACGCTTAGACAACCATGTTATTGGAGACCTGGTAAGAAGCAATTGAAAATGAGCTCAGAAAGTCACTTGGTAAATATGTTTGGGAATATTCATAATCAAACTTTGCTGAAAAAAATAGGCATGCAATTTACTACATTCCCTCTATTGTCTGATTTATATTTTATACTGTAATTTTAGGGAGCTTTCACACCTGTGAATCGATTCAGTTGTTCCGAAACAGAGATTACAATTGTTACATTGTTGCTCTTTGTTCTTGGAGCGGTTCGCTTTCACATTGCAAAGTTTCTAATCGGACCAAAAGAGCTAAAACAAGTCAGGTGCGAGTAAACTCTGCTCACATTGGTCATAGTGTCAGGGTTTATTTAGCAGAGGTGGTGGTTTGATGCTGATTGACAGGGTGCGCGCGCGATGTGTCTGAGGAGAGATGTGGTGGGGAGGGGGGAGAAGGCAACGTAGCCTATTTGAGGACCAGGAGGGAGACGCGAGATTACCGGGAGATCATCACTCGTTTGCGGGCATCTGGAGACTCGCGAAACTTCCCGCCCTACTCATATTTCTCTCTTCATATAGCCGTAAGCCTATTACATATCCATAAAACACTGTGATATAACCGCGCTCGAATCGGATTGCTTTCTCACTGCAATCGATCCGCTCAAGGGTTCATTTCAATCGAGCCGAGACCACCTCATTCAAGCGATCTCGGAGCGATTACTTTGGCGCGGAACAGAGCGCTATTGCCCTGTTCACATATGCCAAACGAACCGCGCTAACTGGGCAAACGAGACACGTTCCGAAACAAAAGTGTAGGTGTGAAAGCACCCTTAGTATATACCCTCAAATATATATTTAGTAGAACTGTAAAGACAGCTAGGGATTTATTACATTTTGTTAATTTTTTATGAAGAATTACTGGTCACACTTTACAATAAGGTTCATTAGTTAATGTTAATTAATGCATTTATTAACATGAACAATACATCTACTACTGTATTTATTCATGTTAATAAACGTTAGTTAATGAAAATACAGTAGTTCATTATTAGTTCATGTTAACTCATGGTGCATTAACTAATGTTAACAAGCATGGACTTGGATGTTAATAATGCATTAGTAAATGTTCAATTATGATTAATAAAAGCTGTACATGATTAGTTCATGTTAGTAAATGCATTAACTAATGAACCTTATTGTAAAGTGTTACCGAATTACTTTTGTTTTGTCAGCAATATTTCAATATAAACATATACTTTAATTTTCTGAAAAGTAAAATTCCATAATGTGAATATCAAATATAATCAATCATTTTTATTAGTACAGATCTTTGATCATAAAATGAGATATCATTATACTAAGATGCTTTACTGGGAACAAATAAAGGTGCTGTATGTACGTTTTTGACTCTTCTAAAGCAAGAAAAGGCCTCATTTCAATGCGCTCCCAATCTGTGCACTGTACATTGATTGTTTTCTTTTGAAGCTGATTTATGAATTATTAATGCACTGATTTGTTGACGTTCCTCCTCCTCAAAGGGCAATGTGATCTATGACCAAGACTTTGATGTTTTTAATGAGATCGGCCACTTGTGCAAGCTGTGCAAAGTCATCAGTGCCAACACCAACCTGGTGAAGCCTGGAGGAGCTCAGTGTTTGCCATCAGGTGAGCAAGAATCATTCGTTCATTCCTTTTCCTTTGTCTTAGTCCATTATTTACACAGCGGAATGAACCGCCAACTATTCCAGCATATGTTTTACGCAGCGGATGCCCTTCCAGCCGCAACCCAGTATCGGGAATCACCCATACACACTTACATTCGCACACAGACTCAAACACTATGGTTAATTTCGTTTACCCAATTCACCTATAGCGCTTGTGTTTGGACTGTGAGGGAAACCGGAGCACCCATTGAGCCACTGAGAATTTAGGAATTTGTAATGTTGCCATTTCTTTTCACAACACTTAAAAGGTGTTTAGGGACTGAAGACACAAGTGACGAAGTATTTCAGGTGTAATTTTGTCTCATTCTTCCTGCAAACAAGTCTGCAGGTGACCAACAGTACGGGGTCTTCATTGTCACATTTTACACTTCAAAATGCGCCACACATTCTCTATTGGAGACAGGTCAGGACTGCAGGCAGGCCAGTCAAGTACCTGTATCTCCTTCTTCCACAGCCAGGACTTATAATGTGTAATGTGTGCGGAATGTGGTTTTGCCTTGTCTTGTTGAAATATGCATGAGCGTCCCTAAAACCCTGCTGACCGCTGAGCCACCATGCCGCCCGAGCTAGAATCAGATAAATAATAATAACAATAATAATAATTCATTTTCTTTTCGGCTTAGTCCCTTTATTAATCTGGGGTCCCCACAGTGGAATGAACCGCCAACTTATCCAGCATAAGTTCTACGCAGCGGATGCCCTTCCAGCTGCAACCCATCACTGGGAAACATACATACACACTCATTCACACACATACAATACAGACAATTTAGCTTACCCAATTCACCTATAGCGCATGTGACTTGTGGGGGAAACCGGAGCACCCGGAGGAAACCCGCGCCAACGCAGGAAGAACATGCAAACTTTACACTGACCCAGCCACGGCTCGAACCAGCGACCTTCTTGCTGTGAGGCGATTGTGCTACCCACTGCGCCACTGTGCTCCCAATAATAATAATAACCATTATTTTTATATAGCGCCTTTAAAAGTAGCATCTTAAGGCACTTTACAGACATATAAAATGTGCAGCAGTAAAACATACTCAGAATAATGAATAATAATAATAAATAAAAGCCTGTTTAGCCTATTATAGTTGGTCAGTTTCAGCCTGTCTTGTCTCTTTCAGGTAACAGCCTCACATCCATTCTGCCCTTACTTCATCCCGAGTGTCACTCTCTCCCTGAGCCCAATCTCTTGCCTGGACAGCTGTCCCATGGTGCAGTGGGCCTGCAGGGCGGCAGGGTACACTGGATCTCTATGGCATTTGAATCCGTGAGTTCATTATAGCATTTCAATAGTTCAGTCAAACAAACTATTTTCATGGTGAAGAGAGTGTGACATTGTGACATCCTTCAGCATTTTCATAACAAAAAAAAATGCAAACTACAAAAATGTAAATATTATTTAGTTTCTTTTGAATTTGGCTCTTTTTAAGAAAAAATATTTCATATTATTAAATATTATAGACCTTTTTCTTGGAACGCAAAGTTACCCATGATGCGCAAGGAGAATGCGAAGAACTTCCGGTCGGCAGCTGATGCGTGTAAACAGTCACATTTGGACAGCTTTGAAACGATAGTTTTAATCTATTTTACCTGCTTTTATCCTCTTTGAACTAACACTGTTGTCCATCAGCAGCATCTCCTGGACTGATCATGTAAAGAATTGCGATCTAATAGGATGGAAAACAGCTGCTGTGAGGCGTTTCCCCCTCGTTGTCAGACGGCATCTTCTGCAGTTTAAATGAAGCCTCGTCATCGCTAAAGTCAACATTTTCTCTTTCTTTCAAATATATAACCAGCCCAAACAAATGTAGTTCACCAAAATGTTTGACACACACACGTAGCCTGTACTGTGCCACTGACACACTGATTTAATAACTGTGACAACGTGAAAATATAGGCTAGTGTCATTTCCAAATGACAGAGAAACACAAACCGTGGAAAAAACACAACACACGAAATAAAACACAAACGGCTCGCGATTAGAATGAACAGCAAATCAGCAGCAGAGCATCAATAACAGACTTTTATTGGTCATTTTTGTAAATTGCACGACTTTCATACCTGTTAAGTTTCATGCCAGTACTCTGGTTTGCTCTCTCTCTCTCTCTCTCTCTCTCTCTCTCTCTCTCTCTCTCTCTCTCTCTCTCTCTCTCTCTCTCTCTCTCTCTCTCTCTCTGTGTGCGTGTGTGTGTGTGTGTGTGTGTGTGTGTTAAAGAGCCGCTGAGCTAACAGCTGACAGGCAGGGAACGCACACACTGTATTTCTGACGGCAGACACGTGAACTAGAAGAACGTTTTTCTCGTATTTCTGACGCGCTTGAACCACATGTGACAGATTATAAGGGCTTTAACAGACACATTTCTAAGTTGTGTGTCACAAAAACACTCTGTTATCCATTAAAAACGTCATTGAAACCCATTTTCGGAGCGCAAATTACCAGTTGAACACGCTGTAAACGGAAGTTTTTAGCATTCTACCGGAAGACGCTGGTCGCTATGGCGCCCTCCATGCAGCAGCCATGAAAAAGGTCTATATAACATATGAATTTGGTTGTACTCATTTTGGACTGTTATCATAAGCAGTGTTGGGTAAAACGTAAAATATTACAATCTTACGTCTACCTTATCTCTTTAAAAAAAGTTAAAAAATGCCAATTACAATAAAATAACATAGCACATATACATTCACATTGCATCCTTAAAATGTATCACATTTATTTTTTTTTTTTAAGTGACTACAGATTATAATATATTATTTTTTTCCAACACTTATCATTAGTTATTTTGTTAGATTAGCTCCAGATTTGGCTTCAGTACTGACTAATTTAATGTGTATGCACAAATATAAACTCATCGGCCACTTTATTAGGTACACCATATTCCAGAAAGCAGTCTGAGATGATTTGCGCTTTAAGACATAGTACGTTATCCTGCTGGAAGTAGCCATCAGAAGATAGTACACTGTGGTCATAAAGGGATGGACATGGTCAGCAGCAATACTCAGATAGGCTGTGGCGTTGACACGATTATTAATTGGTACTAATGGGCCCAAACTGTGCCAAGAAAATCTCCCCCACACCATTACACCACCACCACCAGCCTGAACCACTGATACAAGGCAGGATGGATCCATGCTTTCATGTTGTTGACTCCATATTCTGACACGACTATCCGAATGTTGCAGTAGAAATGGAGACTCATCAGAGCAGGCAACGTTTCTCCAATCTTCAGTTTTGGTGAGTCTGTGTGAATTGTAGCCTCAGTTTCCTGTTCTTAGCTGACAGGAGTGGCATCCGGTGTGGTCTTCTGCTGCTGTAGCCCATCCGCCTCAAGGTTGGCCGTGTTGTGTGTTCAGAGATGCTCTTCTGCAGACCTCGGTTGTAACGAGTGCTTATTTGAGTTACTGTTGCCTTTCTATCAGCTGGAGCCAGTCTGGCCATTCTCCTCTGACCTCTGGCATCAACAAGGCATTTGCACCCACAGAACTGCCGCTCACTGGATATTTTCTCTTTTTCAGACCACTCTCTGTAAACCCTAGAAATGGTTGTGTGTGAAAATCACAGTAGAGCAGCAGTTTCTGAAATACTCAGACCAGCCCGTTTGGCACCAACAACCATGCCTCGATCAAAGTCCCTTAAATCACCTTCCTTCCCCATTCTGCTGCTCGGTTTGAGCTGCAGCAGATCTTGACCATGTCTACATGATTAAATGCACTGAGTTGCTGCCATGTGATTGGCTGATAAGAAATTTGTGTGAGCAGTTGGACAGGTGTACCTAATAAAGTGGCCGGTAATATTGTAAAGCTATTCATAAAAATATGAATCTAAATGAGAGGTTTGTGAGGAGTGTACTCATATAGGTTGAGCACTGTAGCTCCAGTCCATCTCAAGGTGTGCATTATCGTCTAATTTTAACGTTTATTCGTTATTTATGCACTTTTTATTTTCAGACCACCTACAAAGGAAAGTCTTCATTTCAAACTCACGCTGACTTCCTCCAATGGGAGAGTTTCCTGCAGAAGCAGCTCGCATCACTTCCTGCCTCGTCCGCCTTGAGAAGAGGCTTCCAGACCTGCCAGCACTGGAAACAGATCTTCATGGAAATTATAGGCAAGAGCGCAAAAAATAGCCCAGAAAAAATGAGCGCTGGTAAAAATGGCTCGGCTTGAATAAATGAGCAATTGAAGCATGATTAGTCTGTGGCTCTGAGTGCTCATTAACCTCACTCTCAGCACATGACAGAAATGAATCTGCAGTCAGACTCAGTGAATGTGTGTGTTCGTGTGTGTGTGTATGTTTCTGCAGGTGTGGAGAGCGCCCTCTACAGTCTTCTGCTGTCTCTGGCCATCTGCATCGCTTCAGTCGCTGTGTTTACTGCTCATCCACTTCTGCTACTGCCAATCCTGCTCAGCATTCTGGGTATGGCATATTATATATATATATATATATATATATATATATATATATATATATATATATATATATATATATATATATATATATATCTAATGTTACTGAGACTTAACATTTTCACTTTAAGGAAAATTAGGATTGATTGAATTTGTTTCCGTTATGATTAATAGGAGAATAAAGCGAGATATTGATAAAGAGAAATTGTTATACCTTTTCTTGAAAGTCAAGTTTACATACAATAAGATTATTCTGCCTCTGACAAAGCTCAGATGATGCTGTCAAGGTTTTGGAAGATTCTGATTGGCTAATTGACAACATTTGAGTTAATTGGAGTCACAACTATAGAATAGTATTTAAGGAAAACCTCAAACACACTGCTTCCTTGTGTGACAACATGGGAAAATCAACAAGCCAGAATCAACAAAAAAGCCAGATTACAGTTTGCTAAATTTCACTGGGAAAAATACTAATGTTTGGAGGCATGTCCTGTGCTCTGATGGAACTAAGATTGAACTGGTTGGCCATAATGACCAGTGCTACATTTGGAGGACAAAGGGGAAAGTGCACAGCCTGGGAACACCATCTCAACTGTGAAGTATGGGGGCGGCAGCATCATGTTGTGGGGCTGTTTTGCTGCAGGAGGGACTGGTCCACTTCACAGCATAGATGGCATCATGAAGAAAGAACATTATGTAGAAATACTGAAGCAACATCTCAAGACATCAGCCAGGAAATTAAAACTTGGCCACAAATGGGTCTTCCAAACAGACCATGACCCTAAGCATACTGCCAAATGAGTTAAAATGTGCTGTAAGGACAATAGAGTGAATCTTTTGGAGTGGCCATCACAAAGCCCTGATCTCAATCCTATTGAAAATGTGTGGGCAGAGTTGAAAAAGCTTGTGCCAACAAATCTGACTCAGTTACACCAATTCTGTTAGGAGGAATGGGCCAAAATTCCTTCAAACTATTGTGAGAAGCTTGTGGAAGGAGACCCAAAACATTTGACCAAAGTTATACAGTTTAAAAGCAAAGCTAAAAATACCAAGGAAATGTGTGTAAACTTTTGACTCTCTAGAAATTAATCAAAAATTCTCAAAAAAAAATCTCTCATTATTCTGGAATTTAGCAAATGTAAATCATTTAGGTAATCCTAACGGACCTAAAATAGTAAATGTTTAGTATGATTTACCATCAGACATTTTTTTTAAAAATGGTTCTGCTCCCTTTTTTAGAGTGTATGTAAAGTTCTGGTTTCAACTGTATATATACACATACACTACCTGACAAAAGTCTTGTCGCGTTCTTGAAAGAAAGCGTTCTTGCAGGACTCCCAGAGTTCATCAAGATTCTTTGGATTCATCTTCAATGCCTCTTCTATCATTTGATCCCAGACATGCTCAACAATGTTATTGTCTGGTGACTGGGCTGGCCAATCCTGAAGCAGCTTGACCTTCTTTGCTTTCAGGAGCTTTGATGTGGAGGCTGAAGTATGAGAAGGAGCGCTATCCTGCTGGAGAATTGTCCCTCTCCAGTGGTTTGTAATGTAATGGGCAGCACAAATGTCTTGATACCTCAGGCTGATGATGTTGCCATCCACTCTGCAGATCTCTCACACACCCCCAACTGAGTGTAACCCCAAACCATGATTTTTTCTTCACCAAACTTGACTGATATCTGTGAAAATTATGGGTCCATGTGGGTTCCAATAGGTCTTCTGCAGTAGAACATGCAAACTCCACACAGAAATGCCAATAGACTCAGCCGAGGCTCGAACCAGAGACCTTCTTGCTGTGAGGTGACAGCGCTACACACTGTGCCACCGCGCCACCCTTCATATTACTTTATTATAGTTAAGAACGATTGATTTCGATTCTGTATGAAATGTGACCTGGACAAGCTTGCATGAGATTCACTCCTTTTAACTCTTTAGCACTATTTGTCACGGCCAACTAACTTTCATCGAGGACACTTAAATGTCCCTTTGGACGGTGCCGTCAGATGCCTGTTTCCTCCATTCTGTTGGATTTAATTGACTCGTGTAATACGTACTGATGGTGAAAATCATTGCCTTTGAAATGCGAGCTCTATTCCCATCTCATTTATATGTTAATACAATATGCCAGACATGACATAATTTAACTTGCTTTCAACCGGGAATATTATCGCTACAAGTGATTACTCAGACTGAACGAATATACAAATTATGTGAAATGAGAAGAGACTGGGAAAATCAGCCCACTTCTATGTGTCCAACTTAACGAGGAAATAGATTTCAGAATTGCGCAACGACTCTTGAATTCAAGTAGTGGAAGGAAGGGATAATAATAATGAAAAAATGGGACCACAAACAAATGTTTAAAGAGGATGCTGTATAAGACACCATTTTAAAGGGTTATTATTTTGGTTATTGGATGTACATTTATTCATTCCTTGTCTTTCAGCTTAGTCGCTTATATATCAGGGGTCACCACAGCAGAATGAACCGCCAACTAATCCGGCATATGTTTTGCACAGCAGATATCCTTCCAGCACTTGAAAACACCCTTACACTCTCACATTCACACACACTCAAACACCCAATTCACATATAGCGCATGTCTTTGGACTGTCGGGGAAACCGGAGCACCCAGAGGGAACTAACGGCAACACTGGGAGAACATGCAAACTCCACACTGAAATGCCAATTGGCTCGGGTGGGACTCAAACCCGTGAGCTTCTTGCTGTGTGGTGACAGTGCTAACCACTGAGCCACTGTGCCACCCTATTGGATGTACAAGAAAAGGTTAACATCTTTAATGCTTATAAAAACTGTTTTTCCACACGCTGTAGGTAATAACTCTCAGACTGGAGAATGGTTTCAACAGAGCCCCACCTTCCAGTATCCCTCGAGTGCTCTGATTGGTCAGCTGAACCCAGTGCGCTGTGATTGGCTAAACATATCATGGGCTGTATTTGAACAATCTAAAGCCGCCTTTCCACTGCACGCGACATTAGGACACGACTGTCGGAATACGCCCCCTTGTGGCAGCCGTACAGTATTTTCAGTGTGGTCGTGCACCATGGGGGAGAAGCTGATTCTCACGGTGTCTGAAATAAAGGAGGGCAAAAGCAAGAGCCTTTATTTTCTGTGCGTTTGGATAGTTTCATGGATGAATGAATGAATACTAGAAACTCATAGACCGTTAAAATATTGGAGGGAATGTGGAGACAACATTATATATATATATATTTTTTTTTTTATTACTTTCTTACTTACATTTATGAACAGAAAAGTTTTTCTTTAATATAGACTTTTTATAATTCAAAAAATACCAAATAAACCTGCTTGGACAACACTGGAATACATCATATCCGGTCGGCAGGTTGCATGCGGTCTAGTCGCAAGAGTTCAAATATTTCAAAGGATCCGCAGCTCAATTCGGATCCGAATTTTCCGCATTTGGAGATGATTAGAACTCAACGCAGCTCCCGGACTGCTCTCTATTGGAAATGAATGACTTCCGGTCTGCTGCTTGTCGTTTGTCATGTGCAGTGGAAAGGCGGCTTAAGCGCATGGCGCAGAAGTATTAAGAGCATGTCAGAATTTACATTTGCTATTTTAAGGAGGGGAAAAACTGTCGTTGCACTCAACGCATAGTCTAAAAGGGTTGTGCTTATTCTCTTAATGAGGTATGGGTGTGTTTTGAGCATAATATGTGTTAAACCAACCAGAGTCTCATCTCCCATTCCCTTTGAGTCATTTGCACTGTGCCATGGTGCATTCGTCATCCACATGGCTGATTTTGTAAGCAGAAAAAATGAACGCTTGTCTGAGGTTAAAGACCATCTACAGAATGGGTCTCTTCCATTCGTCATGTATTGGGGATACGGTGCTGGACACACTCCATTAAAAACATCCATTACCTATACAATATTCATTCATTTTCTTTTCGGCTTAGTCCCTTTATTAATCTGGGGTCGCCACAGCGGAATGAACCACCAACTTATCCAGCATATGTTTTACGCAGCGGATGCCCTTCCAGCCGCAACCGATCACTGGGAAACCCATGCACACTCATTTGCACACATACATACACTACGGACAATTTAGCTTACCCAATTCACCTGTACCGCATGTCTTTGGACTGTGGGGGAAACCGGAGCAACCGGAGGAAACCCACGCAAATGCAGGGAGAACATGCAAACTCTACACAGAAATGCCAACTGACCCAGCCGAGGCTTGAACTGGCGACCTTCTTGCTGTGAGGCGACAGCACTACCTACTGCGCCACTGCGTCACCACATATACAATAAGTAATTAATTTTCCTTCAGCTTAGTTCTGTATATATCAGGGGTTGCCACAGCGGAATGAACCGCTACCTATTTCGGGATTTGTTTATTGCGGCGGATGTCTTTCCAGCTGCAACCCAGTACTGGGAAACATCCTACATTCACACTCTCATACACTATGGCCGATTTAGTTTATTCAATAGCACATGTGTTTGTACTGTGGGGGAAACCAAAGCACCTGGCCCACCCACGTCTTCACAAGGAGACTAGAACCATTCAGGACTAGAACCAGTGATCTTCTTGCTGTGAGGTGTACATTACATGTTTAATTAAAAAATTTCTGCTGAGCCATTGCTATTTAGAAGTTGTTATCTAACAATAACATATCTTAGAATATCATGATTGACCAATTAGAATTGAGTATGCGATATATATGTAAATCTACCAATAGTCCTCGTCAAGACTTAAAAAAAAAAATAAAATTAAACATTTTAAAATGTTTTAGCTGCATAACATTGGTTCATGGAAACACAACTTAGCGCAATAATTACATTTTTTTATTTATTTATGTATTTTTATCGACATTTAGAAAACAACTAGTACTGGGCAAGGATTAATCACGATTAATCACATCCAAAATAAAAGTTTGTTTTGATATAATGTATGTGTGTGTGTTATATATATTTATTATCTATATGTGATCCACACACATACATACATGCATAGAAACAAAAATATACAAAACGATTTTGTAACATAGATATTTAGGATACATAGAATTTCCGTAAGATTGCACTAATTTGCGCTATTTTGCATGTGTGTGTGTGTGTGCAGGTATGGTGTGTCTGGTGGTGGCAGTGATGTATTGGCTCGGGTGGGAGATGGGAGCAGTCGAAGCCATCTCTCTCTCCATATTGGTGGGCTCTTCAGTGGACTACTGCCTGCATCTGGTGGAGGGCTATTTACTGGCGGGTGACACCGAAACCTCAGGACTGGTGAATCAGTTTGCTACGATTTACATTTATTCATTATCTTTACAATAGTGTGATGTTGACACCATATTCAATTCAAGTTTACTTGTATAGCTCTATTCACAATAATTATTGTTTCAAAGCAGCTTTACTAAAGGTGCACATTATTGCATTACAATCAAACTCGGAAAAGTTACGTTTATTAGTAACCAAGCTTTTAACAGTTAAAGTTAGCATATATAAAAAAGCTAAGCCGCAGTTATATACAGTAGCATATAGGTGATGTCCTCATGTACATGTTCAATGTAGCGTATTTGTGTATTAATTGTATGTGTTGGCCTCAAAGTCTTATGTTATGTTATATGTTGTTATGTTGTTATGTTATGTTATTTTATGTTATGTTATATGTTGTTATGTTGTTATGTTATGTTATTTTATGTTATGTTATATGTTGTTATGTTATGTTATGTTATATGTTGTTATGTTATTTTATGTTATGTTTTATGTTATGTTATTTTATGTTATGTTATATGTTGTTATGTTATGTTATGTTATTTTATGTTATGTTATATGTTGTTATGTT